ATTTTGTTCTTTAAGTATATCACTGTTTATCTGTAAGCACCATTTTAATAAAGATCAAATATTTGCCTGTTAAAACATGTTGAAAAATGCCACAATTCTCATGGGGTATACTTAATTTTTCATATGCAAAATGTAAATGCTTTCAACTAACACCTTGGTACCTTGAAGGAATACATTGGGTGGTTACAGAGGGAAAGTGGTTTCTACCCCAGTATTCACAATTATACCTCCTAATTGATTTGTCCGCCTCTACCTTATCTGCACGATCTGCTTTCTTCCTCTGGGGTCACCATTCTCACGCTCATCTCACTGCATGTTCATCCTTTTGTGGCAGATCCTATGGCTCTGGCCCACCGGAATAGCTCAGAAGCCTTCTTCACATTGAAAATTCACTTCCACCCCTGGAGGTGGAAGGACATCTACTGACATTTTCTCCAGTCTAGCACAGATACTTCCCAGACTTTTGTTTTCCTCTGCCTTGGTTTCCCCTCCATGAGAATTTTTCTCAAGTTATGCAGTCAGACTCCTTTAAATCAGCTAGTGCCTGGTTTTCTCCACTCAAGGTCACCGGAACTCTCCTCTTCACTATGTGGGGAGATTAGCTCCACTGTCTAGACACCTTTTCCATATACAGTGCCTTGAAAAATATTCATACCCCTTGAAATTTTCTACATTTTGTCATGTTACAACCAAAAACTTAAATGTATTTTATTGGGATTTTATGTGATAGAATAACGCAAAGTGGCACATAATTGTGAAGTGACAGGAAAATGATAAATTGTTTTCAAAATGTTTTACAAATAAATATCTGAAAAGTATGGCTTTCATTTGTATTTAGCCCCCCTGAGTTATTAAGTGTTGGTCTATCACATAAAAATCCTAATAAAATACAATTACGTTTTTGGTTGTAACATGACAAAATGTGGAAAATGTCAAGGGGTATGAATACTTTTTCAAGGCACTGTATATAGAATCTATTTTACTGTTCAGAAAAATGTCCCAAAGATAAGATTAGTTAAGGGTGACATTTGTGCATATGCAAAAAAGTTTAGATGACACACAAATATCGCACTCTAGAAAATTTCTTAGCCCCCCCCCCCCCACCCACCCCCCATCTGCCTTTATGTGTTTACTTCCTATATGTATATCGTATTCGGTTTATATTTAGGTGTAGCGAGGAGTGTCTTCTGGAGTAATGGTGAAATACAGTTGTTTCCATGTTCACATTATACTGTATAGATCTCAATAAAATAGAAGGAAATGAAATATTTATTATCTGTACTGATACCATCATTATCCTGGAACCCCCTCCACAGTACATACTACATAAAGCTAATCAGGGCAGCCTCTCCAATACAGCTTCATGTGAGGTGACAGCAAACTACATTATTATACATGAGTGATGTGAAGATAGAAGACTCAACAGAGCCAGATATGTGTGTGCTCTGCAGGCAGCACAGTGTGACACCAACCAGCTGAGATGTGACATAAACCTCACACTGAGCAATTATACCCGGGATGGAAAGACATTGCAGGGTGATCAAACATTGCTTTTATCTGGGTGAAGAGAGCAAATCAATCTATACATTAGAATGGGCGAAACCTGCAAATAGATCAGTAAAATTACCATATATAAGAAGCTTTGTTAAAATGTATTTGTGAAGGAGGTGTGGGTAGAGCAGAACACACAGAGGGCAGGAGTACACACAAGGCTTTTATTAAAAGGCAGGGATAGCAGAGTTCTGGGAGGCAAAGGGATAAGTCCCCAACATAAGGCTGGTACACAGCAAGGATAGCAGAGTTCTGATGGGCAAAGGGTTAAATCCGTAGCATAGGCTGGGCACACAGCAGGGATGGCAGAACTCCAGCAGACAAAGGGTTAGGTCCGCAACACAGGCCAGGCACACAGCAGAGATATCAGAATTCTGGCAGGCAAGGGGTTAATCCACACAAGGAACTGGACACACAGCATGAATGGACAGGGATCCAGCACAACAGTGACTAAGTTCTTGGCACAGGATGGCATTCTAGTACAGCAGAGCTAAGTCCAGAGTCAAAGATCAACAATCTGGGTCCAGTGAGCAGCAGGCCACAAACTGGTGCAGCAAAGTCCAGGAGCACAGGGCAGCAATTCAGGGATTCACCAACCAATAGTGGACCCAGCAGAGTGGCATGGAGAAAGAGGTCCGGAGGGCAGAGGTCCTTTACCAACTCATCACGGGTCCTCGAGAGCTGTGTTGTCCTGGCTGCAGCTTGAAGACCACCAGGCAACAGTTGACAGGAGAGCAGAAGGTAGAGGAAAGTCCCAGTGTCTGGAAAGCCACACAGACAATGCAGAACTGCAAGTCACAGCAGTGCAGAAAGCAAAGCACAGCCCATACAGAGCTATATGTCTCAGCAGTTCAATGCATCTTATCGTGAGACCTGCAGCCACAAGCTCCTCTGTACATCACTGAGTTAAGCTCTGAATGTTCTGCCCCTTTCTACCAGCATAGGGATATTATATTGTCCTTTCAATTCAACCAAAACCTGAAACACCCAATGCCGACACGTCTGGATTTTTCCAGCTGAAGTACACCGTGCTGTCTGTGTCTCCTGCTGAGATCAACCTCATCTGTCACCCCCTGTGAGGCACAGGAACTCCTAGATTTAATTAAGCAGACAAGCTGACCGCTTGACACACTTGTTGAGTTCAACAAAACAACACAAAAAAAAAATAATATTTCCTCTTACAACTCCCCTGAGCCCCTGATAGTGGGGACAGAGGGCACAGAGCCAGGAGTCGCACAAGTGCCTGGTGGGTGTTGAGATGACTGTAGGCAGGTGATTATTTATTATTACTATACAGTATTTATATAATGCTAAAAGGTTTGCTCAGCGCTGTACATTATAGTGGGGGACAGTACATGAGACAATACAGTAACAAAACAAAACACGTGGGGTTCGAGGGCCCTGCTCTTTTGAGCTTACAATCTAGGAGGGAGGGGATAGTGGTACAGGAGGAAGTGGCTGTGGGGGATGGAGTGGTAGGAGGAATGGAGGAGATCAGCTGTTAGGTGAGGGTGGGGTAGGCTTCCCTGAAGAGATGGGTTTTCAGGGTGTGCCCTAAGGTGAGGAGGGTAGGTGACAGTCTGATGGATTGGGGTAGTGAGTTCCAGAGGATGGGGGAAGTCCTGGAGAAGTCCTGCAGTCGGGCATGAGAGGTGGAGACCAGGGAGCTAGAAAGTAGGAGGTCTTGTGAGGACGCGAAGATTACGGGTAGGGTGGTATTTGGGTATCAGGTAGGTGAGGTAGTTTGGGGCAGCGTTATGAATGGCTTTGTATGTCTGTGTTAGTAGTTTGAATTTAATGCGTTGGGCAATCAGGAGCCAGTGGAGGGAATGACAGAGGGGGGTGGCAGAAGCGGAGCGGTTGGTGAGGTGGATGAGTCTGGCCGCTGAGGTCAGGATAGACTGAAGCGGGGATAGTCTGTGATAAGGTAGGCCGGTGAGAAGGGAGTTGCAGTAGTCGAGTCATGAGATAATAAGGGAGTGAACGAGTTGTTTAGTAGTGTCTGGGGTTAGGAACGGACGTAGTTTGGAGATGTTGCGGAGGTGGAGCCTGCATGAGTTTGCCAACAATTGGACAGGTTTGAGTCTACAGTGACACCTAGGACTTTGGCTTGCGGGGTGGGACTGATGGTGGCGTTGTTGGTTGTGATAGAGAGGGTGGGGGGGGAGGGCGCGGGATAGGGGGAAATTTAGGAGCTCGGTTTTGGAAAGGTTCAATTTGAGGAAATGGAGCGACGTCCAGTCTGATATGTCGTTCAGTAGGTGGGTAATACGGGCGGAGACTGAAGGGGTGAGGCGAAGGGTGGAGAGGTAAATTTGCGTGTCATCGGTGTAGAGGTGATAGCTGAAGACGTGGGAGTGTATCAGTTTGCCGAGGGAGGAGGTGTAGATGGAGAAGAGAAGGGGCCCGAGGACAGAGCCTTGGGGGACCCCAACAGAGAGGGGGAGAGAGAGGGGGAGGTGGTAGCATTATAGGTAACGCTGAAAGAGCATTGGGATAGATAGGAGGAGAGCCAGGAGAGAGCGGAGTCTCTGATGCCGAGGGAGTGTAGTTTATTAAGGAGGAGGGGGTGGTCAACTGTGTCGAAGGCCGCGGAAAGGTCGAGGAATAAGAGGACTGAGTAGTGGCCATTAGCTTTGGTGGTTAGCAGGTCATTAGAGATTTTGAGTAGGGCGGTTTTGGTCGAGTGTAGGGGACGGAATCCAGACTGTAGTGGATCGAGGAGGTTGTTGTCAGTAAGGGTGGGCACTTAGGCGATTGTAGACTAAGCGCTGAAGCAGCTTGGAAGTAAATGGCAGGGAGATGGGTCTAAGGTTGTTCAGTTCGGTGGGGTCCAGGGAGGGTTTTTTTGAGTATGGGGGTGATGTGCGCATGCTTTAGGGGGGAGGGAAATGCGCCTGTAGAGAGGGAGAGATTGAAGTTCTGGGTGAGGGAGCGTAGGATGGAGGAGGAGGGTGACCGGAGGAGTTGTGTGGGGATAGGGTCAAGGGGGCAAGTGGAGAGGCGGGCTTCTGAGAAGACCATAGTGACCTCCTCAGTGGTAGCAAGGCTCAAGGAGCAGAGTGTTGGGGAGGTTATAGTGTGTGGGATGTTAGGTGTGGTAGGGAGTAGGGCGGTTGCGAGGTCAGAGGAGGGGAGAGTTGATGGGGTTATAGTGGGAGGGAGGCTAGGTGGGGAGGTAGGTTGAGCATTGGCGATGTCCTTACGGATTGCATCAATCTTATTTTGGAAGTGATTGGCAATCTCGTGTGGGCGGTGAGTGAGGTACTGGGTGGGGGAGAGAGAGTAGGGAGTTGAAAGTGGTGAAGAGCCGGCGAGGACAGGTGGAGAGGTGTTGATGAGGGTTACGAAGTAGGCTTCTTTGGCGGCGTGGAGGGAGGAGGAGTAGGTGAGGAAGGCGGATTTGTAGAGGGAGAATGCTCGAGGAGATTTGGTTTTGCTCCATAATCGTTCCAGCGGGCGTAGGTGCAGCAGCAGGGAGGTATGGCGGCAATCAGGATACAGGCCACGTGCGGATGCAGGAATGTAGGTGCAGCAGCAGGGAGGTATGGCGGCAACCAGGATACAGGCCAGATGCAGATGCAGGTAATAGTTACAGGCAGGAGAGATAGCGTCAGACAAGCCGAGTCAGGATCAATCGGGCAGATCAGGTACAAGGGAGCAGGCAAGCGGATAGTCAGAGGATAAGCCAGGTCGGTGCAAGCGGAGTTCTTTCGTAGTCAGGGTCAGATCAGATACAGGCATCAGAATCAGGTTATGGAGTGCAGGACGTTGTAGACCAGAAGGCATAGGCTAAAGTGTACTGGTGATTTAAATAGCTCGCCTGGCGATGACATGCATGCCGGTGCACGTGCGTGTAACCGGGTGCTCCCCGCGCATGCGCACCACCACAGCTGACAGGGACCCGGCTGTCAATGGGTGATCCCTGACAAAATCCATCTTCAGTGCAGTTCCTCCCCGGACATTGGACCCATCACACAGCCATTACAAATGCCTGAGGAGTTTCGTAGTGGGTGGGTAGAGCTTGATGGGGAACTGAGAGCCAGTTTTCCATCAGGTCCGCCTTGCTTTTAAATGACAGCGCACAGCAGTCGGCAGCAGTGAAATGGGTGGGTGGAGACTGATGGGGAACACTGAGACTAGTTTCCTGATCAGGTCCACCTACCATGTGACTTGTCATTGCCGAAACATGGATCCCTGGCCCCTTTGTTTACATTCAGCTTTCTTCTAGGAAATCTCCTGGCTGGCAGCTAAACAGGGCCCAGGGAGAGTCCCAGGTTGCTATAAAGCAGCTTGCAGTTCTCATCCACAAGTCCTGTGAAGGAAGGTATCAAACTCAAGATTCCCATGCCCCACTTTGAGTACTGGGGTTTCCGTACACCAGCACAGAGCTGATTTTAATTATTGCCAGTTTCCTAATCTGTGAACCAACAGTTATCCATTTTGAATCAGCCATAGCAACAGTTCTTATAGTGGTAGTGAGAACTGCCTGAACTACCTGAATTTGTAATTGGTGTTGGTACTGTTAGCAAAACGGTTGCAAAGGCTTGACTAAATCAGGAACAGGTAGTTTTATTGGTGTAAAAACAATTAGTTCTCTATGAACTGGATTATATGGCAAAAAGATGCTGCTGTGGATTTACTTATTATTGCATTCACTTAGTTATTATTTACATAGCAGTCAGAATGTCTCACTCGCCTTTGTGCATTTTCCATTTATTTTATATTATGCAATTTGAGAGGAAGCAGAACCCTAAATTGATGCTGCAATGATTAGACCATTTGCAATTTCTAGGGTGGTTTTACCAAGCTCCATAATACATTGGTTTTACTCATGTACAGATATTTTTCCAAATCATATCATTCCAAAATATTCTACAATGTGAATTTGGACCCCGAACATTTTTATAAAATGGCAGTGAACGACCTTCAGCATGGTTTATTAAAAAAAGGGGCCCAACAGCAGCCTTTTTAGACATTAGGGGAGGGGCTCTGATGTGACGACGCTTAAATATTGGAAAAACCTTACTGTGGATTCAAATTCTAACTTTTAATGCGGTTTTAACTTGTAATACATGTGAGTGCACTACTTTATTTAAATAAATATATTTTAAAGAGGATAAGGCACTATATTCTTTTATTAAATTTCATGGCCAATACACCTATGGAAAATCCTAAGGAAGCGAGGGGACCCCCTGCTGGGAAGAGGGAACACTCCCTTTATCTATCCATTCCAGGGAAAGAGGGATAATCCAATTCATTTATCACTGAGTCCAATTAAAGGGACACAAGTTTTTTCTGACCTCACTTAATGGTTTGGTCATATAAACCAGGTGAAAGCACAACCAGTGAAGGTGCACAATATATTTTTTTATGCTTGTTGAACTGCACTATAATTACAGTGATATCATGACATATATTCTTTTGATGCTGGACTTTTATTTATTCAATATATATTCACTCATAATTTTTGCAATTGGTAGTGGAGCGCAACACTATTTTTTATTCTATTTTATATGACACAATGATATGAAGTATGTGTAGAGGGTAAGTGAACCACATTTTTCACAGTTTTATACACAATTTTATTTAATTTTATTTGTATATCACAATTTTAGTATCATTTGAATATTTAAATATTTCTTAGCACTTTACATACACCATAGTAGCTCACAAGACTCAACACCTTAGCCTTTTTAGACATCATGACTTTTCTGTCCAGTGGCAGTGCATTGTGTCAGGTATCCATTTCAATACCTAAGGCATTGTTCACGTGGGGCGTATCAATTCATATGCCCGCACAAGGCCATGTTTACCCTCTTCGGCGTTCTCAGGTGTTCCATGAATTCCCACGCAAGCAGTCCCATTGATGTCAGTTGGGACACAGCAGCTGTAAGTACATAGTCACTGCTCCTAATTTGACATCCATACAGGCGCGGGTGCATGTTCCCAAACTCACACAGTGTGCATTTGGGGACTTGCACACTGCACAGATGTCAAATTGGGTGCAACAGCTGTGTCCACATTGAAATGAATGGGACTGCCTGCACAGGGATGCACAGAACAATTGTGCATCCCCGGCGAAGTAAACATGGCCTCACATATGCATTGATACACCCCATGTGAATAAGGCCTTATACTCAGGTAAAGTAATACCATATCTACTCTCTTCCTGTCTATTTACAGAGAATATGGTGTGCAAAAATTTAAATAAAATAATTGACACTACTTTGCTTGAGAAATTCGATGCACTGTCTCTCTGGAATACAAAAGCACTTGTAGCAATATGTTATATGCTGTGTATGGCTCTAGGGGGGTCTCACTACTTAGATACTGGTACATGTGTTATTGCCTCTCTTTGGTTGTAGTTCTAGGGCAGACACATGTATAATGGCAGCTAGAAGCGCCTAATAAAATGTCTCCTGTTAACTACAGTGTGTGAGCATCTGAGCAGGATCGACTAACAGAACATGGTGGCAGCTGGGCACTGAACCTCTGAATAGCAAGTCTTCTGTCTACAAATACAGATTGTGTGACATAGAACTGTACAGAGAAATCAGCAACTGTAAGTACAGAGTCCCTATCAGACTGCACTATGGAGAGTGGCCTGAAAACCCCCTCAGAGACTGGATGTCACTTCTTCCAATCTCTCACAGACATGGAGGACACTGGAAGGAAGAGTTTACTCTGTATGTGGACCTGACAGTGGCACCCAGAGATGAGCAGAGGAAGTAAAGCGGTTTTATTACTTGATTGGGGAAAAAGGCAGAGAACTAGCCGAGACCCCTGCTACACAGACAGCATGGCACTGACAGACATACTGCAAGCATTTGATAAGCACTGTGACCCCAAAAAGAAAAAGAATGAGACGGTTGGAGAGATACAAGTTCTTCTCAAGGAATCAGGAGATTGGGGACAGTGTGGACAGATATGTGACAGAGTGAGGAGGGATGCTGCAACTGTGGTGGATTTGGGGACATCAGGGTACTCCCTTATCGAGACAGGATATTGTGTGCATCAGAGACTCTCACCTCAGGAGGAAAGATTACTGCGGAGCGGAAGAGTCTGGCGCTGGAGAAAATGTATTACAATTCTGGCAGGGCTGGCCAGAGCTGACTAAAGACAGGGCATGAAGATTGATGGAGGGCACCATGTGTATGCCTCATGTACATGCAGTACCTGTGAACGGCAGTAGCAAGGTCCCGGCTCCCTGGTGAAGCTCCAGTCCCGTGTAAAATACTTGTGGCAAAAGACATTGAAAGAGCCAAAGGTAGAAATTGTCCAGCGTATGTGGTGAGTCCTGCAGGACTTGTGGCAAGATGGAACCACTTTTCAGCTGTGAGCAGATTCCAAAAAACAGCAAACAGTACCAGCAAGACCACACAGTGACCCAGGACCACAGCCGAGCGGACAGCCACAGATGTGGCCATCACATTGGCTGCAGCTGCAAGTACTGCACCAGAGAACGTCAATGTAGTCAAACAGCCACTCGCGCTCGCACATGATGCAAAAGCAGCTCTTTTCCTATTTATGGTGGATGAACAGCCCATAGGATTTCAGCTGGATTGTGGAGCAGCTGCAATTGTCAATTCCATTATAACTCTGCTTAACAAACAGGTTCCCATTGAGCCCACTGATAAGGTACTGGTCATTCGTACAACAAAAGTGTTCTGAAACCCATGGGAACATTGCAAGCAAAAATTAGAAATCCACGTAACAGAAAGAGCTACAGAGTGGAGGGGGGGGGGGTTTACTGTGTTGCAGGAGGACGATCACAATCCTTTGCTGGGAGTTAAAGCAGTTCAGGCTATGGACTTATTAAAGGTGCAGTTCCCCATAAATCATGGCTTGGAAGTTTCTGACAATACTCAAAAATCCTTCACAAAAGGGCAGATACATTTTGGATTTTCACCACATAAAAACATGGTAGTTATGCTGATTTATTTGAAGGTGATGGGTCCTGGAAGGGAAAACAACAGAAAATTTATCACACAATACAGCCTACCAAAGGACGCCTACAAGAAGAGTTTACCTGTAGCCCCTTAAAATGCAACCGCTTAAAAGAGGAACTGCAGGATTTTGCACAGCAGAGGAAAGATGACCGGGTTACAGGAAAGCAAGACTGGATAAGCATTTGGTGTTTTGTGAAAAAACCATCAGGCAAGTTAGAAATGCATTGACCTAAGCCACTGAACAAGGGGCCCTTAAAAGGGAAAACACTTCCAAAGCCAACAATGAAGATATTCTACCCGATTTTATCAAAAGGGTAAATTTTTCGGTAGTGATGTGAAAAATGGGGGTTTTGGCACGTGGAAAAAGGGTAAAGAATCAAATTTTTTAAAGCTTTTTTTCCCCATTTGGACGCTATAAGTGGCTTAGAAAGCCAATGGGGGTAAGCCCACTCCAGAAGTGTTCCCAAAAAAATTGATGCAAGCTTTGG